GTTTTGACTGATGTTGAGGTGGAATTTATTTGTCATTGCCCTTTGTAACTATTTGATGTTTATATGTGGTCATGTTTGCGATTTAGTTTCATCTAAACTTTTTTATTTCGTCTTAAAACATTCTGCCTCTCTATTTTATTAAGTTCTATAACTAATTCTTTTTAATCATTTCTTATTCTCTGTTAGGAATTCTATTCTACTGTGTGAAAGTTTTTAATTAGTACAATATGCTTTCACCTCAAAAGTAACTATCAATTTATGCAGGTGTTTTGGACATTATTGGACATAAAATGCAGTGTCTCTTGAGGTGCTGAAGGAAAGAGGGAATCAAAATTTATGCCAGCATATGGTAATTGAATTTCCCGGAGTTTTTAATTGATTTTTGGACTTTTAAAATTGAATATGTAACAAACTTGGTGGTATTGACTGTAATACAATGAACTGACATCCATAGTCAAAATAGTGATCTTCTAGAAGTATGGGTCATTTGACTCATTCGATAATACTGATTTTAGAATATTGGATAGTTTTGTTGCTCAACGTACTTGTATACTCTCAAGCCAACGTTTAACAAAGAGAGTTTCTGTTAAGGTCATTTATGAATTTGTTAGCAAAAAAAATATGAATTCAGATTGTTATTTTTATGTTGTACTTCATTGTTTTTAAGTTGTGAACATTTCATCAAGAAATAGCTAATTAATTTAATGAATTCTGCAAGATAATTGCCACAGGATTAAATGATCATTGATGTTCATGCTTTTGGAAAAATATGGTTACTTAATGGTGAAATTGGTTTAGGTAGATGTATTGTATGTGCAAATTTGCAATAACCTATCAACCTTATTTAGTTTCACGACACAATTTAAAGGCCATTTACCTTAGTAAATTGGGGCTTCTAGGTAAGATCGTAACTAAGTTGGCAATTTTTCTTTTTCTTTTATTGTTTACCAACTTTTATATATTTTGTGTATTGTGCTCAATTGGCCTTGGTAGGATTTGGTTTTCACTCGTGGTTGCTGACATTTTGAATTTATCGTATGCTTAAGAATGGTGGGATTTTGATATTGTGATATATATCTTTTAAATATTAAAAATTTCTGTATATTGCTTTGCTGTATTACATGTAGTAGTATAGTATGAGAAGCTATGTCGATCGGGAAAAATGTTGCTATAACAGCAGAAGGAAATCATGAACTTCACATATAGAACTCAACATTGCACTTCATATAAAAGGTGCCTTACTTGAAATAATTTAATGTTATTTTTGCTATTGTTCAATTGTGGAATTTAGAAAATTATAACGGTTATCGTGCAACGCAAGATCCACACTAGTTCTAATAATCAAGTGAAAACGGATACTTTCTTTGCACTCCATGTCATATAATTTGGACGAAGTGTTTAGGTCGGAGAACCGTCTCGTTTTGGTTTAGTTCTATTGTTAGATCGAGAATCGGATCAAAATTGTCTAATTTTTAATTCTAAGAACTAGAACATTTTGTCATGTTAGGTACATGGCCATCAAGTAAATAGTAAATTGTGAGGTGTTCAATAAAAAATAAAGTTATAAAATAATGAAACATAAACATTTAATTTGTTAAAGTTGTAAATAAGTAATTTACTTATTTTAAAATGTTCATGTAACATACTTTTAAAGTAAGTAAAAAACTATAATAAAAGATCAACATATTCAAAATACATTGATAAAAAAACTACTTAAATATGGTTGAATTACTTTTAAATTTAACATAAGTGTTATGGAAATGCTGATTTTGATTGAACCAAACATGATTAAAAAATGTTAATATTTATCAACTTGTCATTTTTAATCGTATTCAATATAACTTAACGTATTCTTGTAGTGCTTGCTATTCGATTTAGTCCAACCGAACCTAAGCTAACTCGACCTTTTTTGTTGGTTCTTCCTTGTACCAACTCTCATCAATAGTCATGATGCTATGCTAAGGAATTATTTTTAGACAATACCTTTTGTTGTTTTTAGATAATGGCTTTAGTTGTTGTCCAATTTCATAATATGTGACAAAAGCATATATCTTGTTTAAATTACTTTTTAGTATTGTGAAACCAAGTTAGCCTTCTATTGTTGTCTTTGTGACTATTTCTTCGAGATCTAATTACTTAAATATAGTTTGAACGACTTTGAGAGTAATTTTTATAGATCGTGATTCTATATTGACAGTCATTTTATTATTAAAAATGAACAAAGTTGGTGAAAGTTGTAAAGAGAATTTTTGAACGAAAATCTCTTGCGAATGAAATTATGCATGCCCTATAATTTTTGGTATTTGAATTATGGGTTGTACTAGATGTACACCAAATTCATTACCTAGATTACACCCCCTCACATGGAGGGAGGTCCGCGAATATTTTATTGTGAGTGGACTCCCCTCCATATGAAGGGGTGTAATTCATCAGGTAATTGATTGTGTACATTTAGACTAACCCTTAAATTATAAGAAAGAAAACCCTTTTTTTTTAAAAAGGTACAAGTTGACTCTCAAATATAAATATTCAAAATCGAGACAACTCGTCTCAAATAACACCATCTTTTCACACCTTAATAATACTTCCAACCTGTAAATTAATACAAGCCGGTGCCAACCGCGCCCACATGTCATTATCCCACCAATCACGCCTTTAGAGTCACTCTCGGCCGGCCTTTTTCACAACGTAACCATTCCCAAACGGCTTTCTCCATTTTTCTTTATACACTTTCCCTCATCAACGGTCAATTTTTTCTTCACTTTCTCCAACTAAATTTTTTAATTGTAAAATAGCCCACAAAAATATCATTAGTTACACCCCTCTATTATTAATTTAATTGCAAAATGACCCAATTAAATACACAATTATTACAACGCGGTTTTGAAAACACTTGTTTTTATGATTATTTTAGGATAAATTTCTTCAAGGGTCTCCAACCTTTCATAAGTGTGACAATCATGTCTCCAACATTTTATTTGTGACAATCGTGTCCTCGAACTTTTAAGTTTTAACATTGTGTTTATGGTATCCTTATTCATCGAAAAATTCTATTTAAACGCACGTAATGTGTGACTAAAAGGATGACTTTCCGTACAAAAATATTTTAATATAATTTGAACAGTTTATGTTGGTTTTTAGAATAAAATAATTTTTTTTGGACATTTTACTCTTTCAATTGACATAATGTGCGTTTTGTCTCAAAATTTAACATCTAAATCAATATTTTAGAACCTAGACCAACTCGAGAGAACTAAATTTGTTTTTTTTTTTTTTTTAAAGACAAAAAAATTATTTGTTTCCGACATGATTACTTTTACATCATCTTGAAAATCTTTCATCTGCTTGAGTTTTGAAGTAAAGATTGAAATATAATGTATGATTAATTAAGATATTGCACACACAATGATAAAAAGTTAGGGACATAAATGTCATAAATAAAAGATTAGGGACATGGCTGCAATATTTATGAAAGATCGGGGACCAGTAAGGAATTTACCTATTAATTTACTCCTCCTCGTTGCTCTTTTTCTATACTTAAAAACGCGTATGTTGACCGATCCAATCCAAGACAGCAATAAAAGAACAATAATGCCACTTGTACACATCGTGTTTGGCATCATCTTTGGTGTCAAAATTTGTTTGGTGTCAAAAATTTTTTTTTTAAAATGATTAATTGTGTGTTAACACGTGACAAAGTGTAAACTTGTGTACATACAGTAATCTCGACAAATTTTCCATTATTGGATCCTACCAAACACTTTCTCGCTCTTGATTCTTGATTGTTCCTTTTCTTCCTTTTCTTCCTTTATTATATATTTAGCACCACCATTTCCAAGTTTCTCTCCAAGTTTTTCTCAAGTTTCTTCAACACAAACCGCACAAATTTTGTTCAAATATCAAACCTTCATTGCCCACAAATTTTTTTAAGGATTTTCTACTTGGCTCTAGAGAAGCCACCCCCATCCCACCCACCCCACCTACAACAACAGAAGATTAAAACAAAAGAACCCTTTTTGTCCTTGTTTTCTCCTGTCTTGCCATCCTCATCCTCGGCGGTTCGAATTCTATTCTTCTGTGTAGAATGGACGCCAGTGAGCTGAAGCGTGTTTTTCAAATGTTCGATAGAAATGGGGATGGCAGGATCACGAAAAAGGAAATGAACGATTCCTTAGAGAACATGGGAATCTTTATCCCGGACCCTGAGCTGACTCTGATGATACAAAAAATCGATGTAAATGGAGATGGATGCGTCGACATTGATGAATTTGGTGGACTGTACCAAACCATCATGGAAGAGCGCGATGAGGACGAGGACATGAGAGAGGCGTTCAATGTTTTTGATCAAAACGGTGATGGGTTTATCACCGTTGATGAGCTGAAATCGGTATTGGCATCAATGGGGCTCAACCAAGGGAGAACCGCAGAGGATTGCAAGAAGATGATAATGAAGGTGGATGTGGATGGTGATGGCATGGTGAATTTTCACGAGTTTAAGCAGATGATGAGAGGGGGTGGATTCGCTGCATTAACTTGATATTATTGGAATTTTATCTACATTAGCATTAATTTCAAAGGTGTTTTCGTAAGTTGTAAATATTTTTCTCCTTTTCTTTCTTCGTACCCACAATAGATCAGAGATGAAGAGAGAGTGGTGATTACAAACCTAAGCAATTCCGTGTTGGATTGGACAGTACTGAATTGTCGAGTTCTGTTCAATACTGCATACTGCATCGTGGATGCAGGTGAAGCTTAGGTTAATGAATTGCCATTCTTTGCATGGAAGAAAAGTGGGAGGGGTGAGGTTTAGGGAACAAATGATTTGTAATGCATGCGTTCATGTTTTTTAAATATTTTTTTGGGGAAATTTGAAAATGGAGAGTTGGATTTTTAGCCCTTTTCCCTTTAAAATTCCATTTTTGTATGACTCACGTGGTGTATTTGTTTTTCATCAATTTTAAAGATTGTTAATTTGTTTGTCACCTCGTGCCTCGTAGTGAAGATTGAGCTTCGCCTATAAATTTTTGTCGTTAGATAATAGTTAACATAGAAATATATCAAGTCTTTGCTTCGTCTGGCCAAAAACCAAATTTTTAGTACATTTTGATATAAGTTATTACAATATGTGGTTAAAAAATTAATAAAAATTGTGTATCCTATTAAATGTGTGATTAAAACTAATTATTAATTTTAATTTAATTTCTTATCAACTTTTTAGCTAAATCAAACGGGGGCCAAATCTTATAACATAAATCTTGGTACATGTTTTGTTTCACTTCCTATACATGAGAGGCTATATCGTATCTTGAGCATAGTGAAAAGTAAGCAAAAATTAGTTGCAGCTTACTTTGAGTAGTAGTAAGGATCTTCTTGTTTTTATTTAATACTATTTAGAGACAAGCTTTTGTTTCTCTGAGTGAAATTTATAAGTTTGAAGGAATGTAAATAAGAGTTTTATTTTTCAGTTAAAAAATAATATTAATGCCCCTAATAGGTGGAGATTAAAATAAATGTTTTAGTAAATTTTGATAAAAGTTGATGAAATATATGGTTTAAGAATTATGGGACTCATGAAATATGTTATTAAAATTAATTATTGACTTTAACTTAAATTAAGGAGCTGTCTGGCCACAATTTTTTGACCCAAAAAATTGATTGTTTGACCGTTAATTTCAACCAGGGTCCCACCATTGTGAGGAGGAGGTCAACTTTTGCGGCAGCCAACGGTACAAAAAGGGATTAAAATCTGGAGAAAATTGGAAACAGACAAGCACTAAAATTTGAATTTTAATCAGCACCAAACAGGGCTTTATATCAACTTGGTCTTCGTCATCATGTCATGTTGTATAGTAATTTGTGGGCTCGTTATGATCTCTATCGTGTGCCACATTCTTTCTACGCAAAACCAATATACTCAACACAGAAGTATTGTGAGCTACCTATTTCTCTCTTCCCTAGCAGCAACTTTTGTTTATTAAGACTTGGTTATATTTGAGATAAGGATGTTATATTTTGATATGACGAGCCGCTTTATATGCATTAAAATTCTATATCACAACTTGGTTACTACTCTAAATTAGTTTTAGCATGAGAGTTATGTGATAACAAAGCTAAGGTAGCTATGAAACAAAAAAAAAAAAGGTGTTAAACGTCAAACGGCATGGTTTAACAATGAAATAAATCAGTCAATCCGAATGGAAATTTCAGAAAATTTGGGTGAGTTCAACATTCTGGTAGCAATAATGCTCTACTTCATCCATGATGATTTGGGGAAAAAAAAAAAAAACAAAACAAAACTTTATCATGTAATTGCAGTCTATCTTTGTCTTCTGATATGCATTAGTACATTTTTATACATTTTATTAATTTCTATCTGGTTCATGTAGGGACATCCAGAGCTCGAAGATTGGTTTTACGACTGTTGTTGTAGATGTAAATCAGTTTAGATCTTATCCTACTCAAGAAGACAAGGCCATATGCCTTCTAACTTCTTTGATAGTGGAATTTTTTTCGTTTAAACTGTTTTTTGGCCTGGTATCCTAATCAAGATTGTATTATTTCCTAAGAGGTTGCTTGTTGAAGAGGTGTTAAAATTTGTGAAATGCGATGATTGAAAATTATTTTGTTTTCATGGAGAATTTTTGTGTGGAATCAAAGATTTGAAATATGGAATCTGTTGTTATATTTGGTTCAGTGGTTAATATTTATTCATTATCTTCATTAGTGAACTTGGGTGGTCATAGAGGAAAGACTGAGGAACCAATGTCATGGTCCGATGATTTATCATGATACTTTACGACAATGTGAGAGCAAAAAAGTTGCAATGTTCTACATTTACGAAAAAGGATTGGGGCAAAATCAATCAAGAGATGTTTGTTCTTACAAAATTTGATTATGGGGTAGATATTAAAGGGTAAATAGAATCGTTTACGTAAGGTGCACCGATTGTTCTCTAAAGTGTTAGGGCATACATGTGTTACATAAGATCCAAATACCAACCAAGCGAATGCTGTAGAAGAAGTTTGGCAGCACTTTTATAGAGTATGTAATGCAAAAGCACATTTTTCTCGTTATTTTCTTATGGTATCATTTTATTTTATCTTGTTACACAATATAATAATATAATTACTTTTTTTAACTATTGCAAATAAACAAGTCCGATTACAAGATAATTAGTAAGGAAGGATGTGAGCATTATGAACTTCTTGATGAGATTGTTAGTGCGGCTACAACTACCAGAGATTTAGGCCATGCTTCCACTCAGCTTCCTCCAACACTAGAAGAAGAAAATCAGCTAGAAGATAAATTCTTGAGCAAGGGAGTGCATGTATATATACAAAATGATGATGATGAATTTATTAATATTCTTCGAGGCGACGATACGACACCTAACAAACGCCGATGTAAGGAACCCAAGAGCAGTAGATGTGAAAAACTTGAGACATGTATGGCACAGTGGTCATCTACAATCAGTATGAGGAACAAGGAAATTGAACTTAGGATGCTATACCTGAAAGAAAAACTTGCACGTATCTAAGAGAAATCATCTCCTCGTGAGGGGATGGGAAGGCAAAACTAATATAACACAAAATGTGACGTTGACATGTGATTTTGATATGAAATTTATATATGTGTATGCCAGATGAAGAGGTACTACTAATGATTCACGAGTATTTATTGACGCAATTACAAGAACGTCAAACAACTTTCCTATGTCATGAGGAGGTACATTTTAATATTTCAATGGATATTAAAATATGTCTACATTTGTACAGTTTTAAAGCATAATAATCGTGCAGATCAATTTTATCTTATTGATTCAATTATCCAAACCTGCTTGGATTTCTTGCTCCTTATTGAGATCGAAGATATCATCTACGTGATTATAGTGGACGAGGAAGACCACGTGGAAATGAAGAGCTGTTCAACATAGACAGTCGTCGAAATATTATTGAACGTTTCATTGGAGTGTTAAAGGCAAGATCTCCCATTTTAAAATTAATTACCAATTATCCACTCAACAAGCAAAGACAAATCCGTATAGCATATTGCACAATACATAATTTCATTCACGAGGATCACACTTTAGATCATATTTTCGCTCAATATTCATTAGAGAATATGATATTAGATGTGTCTGAGTCAAATGAAGATCAATAAGCTACACAATTTGATGCTAGTCAAACGGTTCAAATGAGACAAGTGAGAGATCAAATTGCTACACAAATGTAGAATGACTACTCAGCAACTTATACATGATTTTAGATTTATTTTATTGGTTTCATTTTCCAACTATGTTTATTTCCAACAAGTGAGAGATCAAATTGCTACACATTTTGTAGTTCTTAGTCCACATCGTTTATTTATTTATTCACTCTTTTGCCAATTCAATTTATTTGCTTGTTTGAATTTTGATTTCTGTGGAAGGCAAAATACATTATAAAATTTACGAACTTAGAATGTATATTAATTAATAATATATTAGCATGAAATTATTTTATTTAATTGAATAATCAAAATTCATTGAATAAATTATCATAAAATATTGGGAAGTGCTAGACGTACTCCATGACGTACTACATGCTTTACTTCCTGCTGACGTGGATTGGCTTTGAATATTCAACACAGCAATTTAAAAAAAAAAAAAGAGGAAATCCCCAATTAAAAGGCGCCATTTCCTTCCTTAAAAAACTCCCGTCATTTCCATTCGCCTCCTCCGTAGTGAAAAAGCTCCCGGCGAAAATGGAGCAGCTTGAAAACTCAGTCGACGTCGCCGGCGACTAGGACGACTGCGACCACACCTCGGCGAACCCCCCNCGACTGCCCCCACACCTCGGCGACCCCCCCCCCCCCCCAATTTCAGTAAGAAGGTATGGCAATGAAATGTTGTATATGTTGGAATTTCCGGGCATTCTGTGTTGCTGAATACATAAAAAACCAGTGTCAGGCAGAAGTAAGCTAAACAGTAATCAGTATTGTCATTTCTTTCTCAAATCTTGAGGGCTGTAAGTAAGCTGATGTATTTTCTCTCCCACTATTATGACAAGCTAAATCAAATTTTAACCGAAGTGTAATTGCTCTGGACCGAAAGCAAATTTTAACAAATCATGGAAAAAAAATCTCAAGAACAAAATCACATTTGAACTACTCATGAAATTTCACTAAATCGGGAAGATAACCCAGCTCACTGCTTCAAGTGACTGGAAGACAAACCAGTGAATAATAAGAAAAATGCTCAAGTGCAAATGACAAGCAATACCAAAATTAAACCCGTGTGAACTGAAAAATCGACGGAGGAAGCGAGAGCAAATGTCAAAATTGCACAAGTAAAATCTTGCAGTTTGGAAAGGCAGCGAAATTTTGAAAATGTTAAAAATTGTACACATAGCACCTTAATATTTAGCGAACCAAACAACTCACTTGAAGGGAAGTATTGAGATTCGAGGGATGTCGACCGATTACTTCGTAGCGTTTGCGGTCGAACGTCACAACCCGGGGCCCGCGTCGAGTTCAGTACTGTGCGGAGCGGGGCGGAAG